TTTTTTTTTTTTTTTTTACTGATTCAAGTTTATAGATTTATTGTGTGCGTGTGCGTGAGAGAGAGAGAACAAGCAGGGGAGAGGCAGAGAGCTGGGGACAGTGGATTCGAAGCAGGCTCCGTGCTGACTGTAGAGAGCCCGACGCGGGGCTCGAACTCACAAACCCCGAAGCCGGCCGCTCAACCGACTGAGCCACGCAGGCGCCCCAAGAGTCTGATTTCAAATGTGCCACGCTTAGGGTAACGAGGCCATGCCAGTACCAGCCGTTAAGACCCTTCCTGCCCTTGCTCTCCTCTGTCCCCTTTCGATCTGAGGGGTCAGAAGCTACAGCTGGTGATGGGTGGGGGGAGAGGAGTAAGGAGAGAAGCTGTCGGGGACTCCCCCACCCTCGCCACTGCAGGTGGACGGCAGGAAGCGGGCCTGAGCGGGGTGGGGGTGGAGGTGGGGAGAGGAGAAGCCTTCGTCGTAAATGGAGTTTGGTTTTTAAAGTTTTTACATGTTCGTGACCGGAAGCAACAACATGCCTTCTTGCAGAATGACCAGAAAAGTCACGAATGTGGCCCCAGATTCCCTCCGGGGGGGACGGGAGCAGAACCAGCCGCACAAAACGGCTCTGAAGGTGAGGCGGGACACAAAAGCTGCTGTATCATCATCCCTTGTGCGGCCCGCTTGTTCAACCTGAAGACTATCGTGCACACGCCCCACAGCCTGGTGGTATCGGGGCCAACGTTAATCAGCACCCAAGCCGTGGCCACGTTTCTTCCTCGACGGCCACAGAGTTAGGAGATCGGGTGAGCGGCCTCTGGATGCACAGAATACACTCAGCATCCTCACAGCTTGGTGAAGAGGCTTGTACACATGCTTGTACGCTCGCACACTTGTGCACACACTCATACATACATACACACACACACACACACACACACACACACACACACACACACACAGAGTTTAGCATCTCTTCTTCTAATTGTCCAGAGAGGGAAATGGCCTAACTCTTAGAGACAGGCTGTATCGGGCAAGGGGTGGGGCACGCGGCAGGACAGTGAGCACGGGGGTCCCTTCCGCCTCGGCCCCCACGCCGGCCAGCTCTGCTCCACCCCGGGGCGCCACAGGCCAGTGAACCACAGAGTCAGGGGTCGTTCTGAGCAGCGGCCTCAATTTCCCGGAAACGCAGTCCTGGCGTTTGTTGACTTGTTGAATGTTCGGGAACGACGGGTCCCTGAGTCACGTCGCCTCCCCGGCACCGACCTCGGATGGCTGGGCTGGGCTCAACTACGAGGCTGGGTGCCTGACACCCAGAAGGACGCGTCCACTGGCAAGAAAGCAGGTTGCAAACTTCGGACCCCCCCACTCTGCGGACACATGTAATGTTCTCGCTGGAGGCGAGAACAAACATTAAACATTAAAAAAAAATAAAAAAATAAATAAATAGTCACCTTCCGTGTTTCCCGGCCTACCTGGTTCTGAGTGTGTCTAAGCAGGTCGGGAGGTACTTGTCAAACAGGATGGTGAGGTTGGCTCTCTCTGTCTGGACTTCCCTCTTGTCAATCCAGCTACTCACGGGAGGGTTCCAGCCCAGGTCCGTGGGATTGATGTACAGGATTCCTGGGAACGTCAAGAATTTGGTTAAGTTTCCATAAATGCCACTATATTCCTCAGCCCACGGAGTTCCTTTCTCTGTGTAGAAAACGTACAGAGGACTGGACTTCAAAGAAACAGAAGCCTGGCCGAGGTCTGAGAGGGTAAGTAGGATTGCTGCCCGACGGCCTGAGAAGAGCTGAGAGAAAGCAGTGTTGGCAAGGATGACAGGGCCAAGTCCAGGCTCAGGAGGAAACCGGAGCCTGTGGACGTGACCTTATTCAGCAAAAGGGCCTTCCTTTGCACATGTGATTAGGGATCTCCTGACGGGATCATCTTAGATTATGTGTGTGGGACATTGATAAGTGTCCCTATAAGAGACAGAAGAGACAAGACACACACAGAGGAGAAGGCCGCGTGGATATGGAGGTGGGGGTTGGAGTCATGGGGCCGCCAGCCTGAGCGGGAAGAAGCAAGGCAGGTTCTCCCCTAGGGAGGGAATCAATGTCTGTTGTCTTAGAAGCCATCGAGTTCATGGTGACTTAAAACAGCGGCCCTAAGGACATGAATATATATAGAGAGAGACTATTCTCCTGCCCACGTTCACAGCCTCAGCATGCGTTCCTGGAAGGAACTCTGGTGTTACGGTAGACGTCAAATCCGCTCTCCTGTGCCCCAGTCTGTGCCCATCGGTTTGGCCGTGGAGCCAGAGGTTAAGTTAAGGTATGAAGTTGTCATTTCTCACCAGGAGGTAGTGAGAACTTCGATGCTGGGTTGTCACCACTGCCGTGGAGGCTAGAACTGGCCTACAAGGAGCCTCGTTCCAGGCACTTCTGTGCAGAGGACAGTTGTCCAGCTCAGGGACCCTTTCCTTCCCATCTCTGAATGAAGAAAATCCCATGGCCCCGGCCTGGGAGCGCCTGGCCACCCTCGTGGACACAGATTCGGGCTGGGAATCAGGCCAGAGTTTCCCATGATGCACGGGCGGCTCCCGCTCGGACCTTCCTTGGGAGACAGCCACATCACACGTGATACCAGAGGCACCTGTGTTCAAGGGCGCGGCTCTGTGGGTTTTCTCGTTTCCCGGGGGATACCTGCTCTGGAGACCGTTGCTGGGGTGGCCGTGCGCAGGTGGCTGATCTCAAACAGCAGCCTCATCGTGGGAGTCAGGGGGATCCTCTCGTTGCTTGCCAGGGTCAGCACCTGGCAACAGGGAGGGACACGCCAAGGTAGGAAGGAGTGAGGACACGTGATCAGCTGGGGTCGGGGGGTGGGGTGGGGGTCTCTGGATTTGGCTGAGTATTCCTGGTAGGGATTAAGGATGATTATTTTCCTCTTTATGATAAGTATTTTCTAAATTTTCTTTTTTTTTTCTTTTTTTTTTCAACGTTTATTTATTTTTGGGACAGAGAGAGACAGAGCATGAAC